TATATTCTCAGTAGTTTTAATTTGCTAAACCAGGTAGTTTTTCAAGTAGTAATTGTCTCTTATGAGAACTGAGGAAAAATATAATTTCCAGCTTTATTTTTTCAATTGGTAATTTTTTTTCACTAAATGTTAAGTATCAATGTAATCGTTTTTATAATAATAGATTAGTACACAATTGTATGTCAACACATTATTTATTACCTTAAACTGTCTGGAATTTATTATTAAAGGGTTGTGCTTGCGTAAAATTTACTATCGTGGAAATTCAGCTTTTTTGCGTTTTAGCTAATCTCATCCCTGATATTAGGAAGGTCTCGTATTAAAAAAAAATATTTTTTGAAAATATAGAAAATTTTATAAGATTAGTTGTGTAAAGGTTAATTTAGTATCTGTTTATATAATATAGTTTATATAATCAGTTAATCAAATTCTGTAACATTCCATTAATCAATGATACAAATTGTGCTGATCAATGGACATTATTTGCTAAAAATCGTATGTTTCATTTACAATTGAGGTTTTATCTACACCTGTGTGGGTAAACATTCATTATATATTATGTAAATTAAAGTTTAGAGTTGTCACTTGTATTTCAGTACTGATATTTATTGCCGAATATTTGTTTATAATGGTGGATTTTTTTCCATTATCGCAGACTTAATTCATTACTATATTTACTTTTGAATGTTTGTCATATTTTTTAATACACAGTGTTATGTTTAAAAATGATATGTTTACATCATCACAAGTGTCTGAAATCGTGATTTGCATACAATTGTGCTGGCCTCCAGTAATTGCAACCATGCATGCTCCTCTCACTTAACACACTGTCCAAGTCGTACCTTATTTTCATGCTGTTTGATAAAGCATGTGGCGAGTGTTAGTTGAACATAATGTATTTCATTAGTGCTATTTTTTTTCTATATTTTTTTAGAGGCTGTAATTTATGTAACATCTGTAAGAGTTCTTGTTCTCCATATTTATCAAAATTATGAATTTCAAAAGTTATATAATTCCAAATTGTGATGAATATATAATAAACTACAATTAAAGTTTAATGTTAACTATATAAATTCAGTATTACTTGTATAAGTTCTCCGAAGCAGAATTGTGGCGACATTGTCGCAGAACATTACAGAGTTCTTGTGGAAAGATTTTTTATTTGGGAAGCAAAGGCGTTTTTTTTTTTTTTTTTTTTTTTGAAAGGTATTAGTACTAGAGAGAATTGTCTCGGAAAGTTCGAAAAAATCCTGCTGCAGGGTATAAGTCATATCAAAAGTTTATATATTGAATGAAAACACTTGTAACAGCCACAAGTATAAAGATTTAAATTTTAGAAATTTACAAGTTTCTGTAACTTGTCATGATCCTGATCCTAAAGTGTACTACTAGCACCTATACTTCTGAAGAAATATTCTAAGACTTATTAATAAATAAGAAAATTCATTAAAATTAATAAAATATTTAGATTGTTTAAACTTTTTAAAACACAGTATTTTTTTCTCTTCAAGTTTTGTCTTTCTAACTGATTAAAATTATTGTGCCTGCACAATATTCAAGTTTTAACACATTGGGCATGGGAAAGTAGGGTAGCCTCAAAATGTTCTTTCATTGGAATTCAAATTTGTCCCAGAAAGGAAAAAAAGTGAACAGATGTGTTTCGTTAGCTATTTAAAAAAAATAATAAAATAATGATAACAATAACTTCTGTTATATGTATTCTTAAAAAGTAATTTAGAAAAAAGTTAATTACTTATAATGGATTTTCATTTATATGCACTTCAACATAAATTTATAAATTGAGCATAAATAATGTAAATACTGTAATTAGTAATTTCTAAAAATTCTATCTAGATTGCATTAGATAATTATTTATTTTACATTAATTACTTAGATATATTTGAAAAACTAAATTTTTAATTTCTTTGATTTGTTAAATATTGTTATAATTAAGAAAATGTTCACTACTTTTAGAACAATTTTATAGCTGCTTTATACTTACATTGATTGATTATGATTGTTAAGTTTGTAATGAATAAATATGTTTATTTAATATTTTTGTAATTATTTTGGTTGATTTATCTATTCACTAAAATTCCGAACTATTTATCAGGAATTTTTTCAAAAGCTGGGAAGCTTAGGATTTCATGGAATAACAGTACCTGGTAAGCATTAAAGTAAATTTATGAGGCACAATTGAATGTATCATTTTTTTTTTAAATTTGTTCATTTAAATTAATTGATTTTAGAAAAATATGGAGGTTCAGGTCAGGGATTTTTGGACCATATTATCATCCTGGAGGAAATGTCTAGAGTTTCTTCTGCTATTGCTCTTAGCTATGGTGCTCATTCCAATTTGTGCATTAACCAAATTGCTAGGAATGGAAATGAGGCTCAGAGAGCCAAGTATTTGCCAAAGGTACTATGATTCTTATTATATTTGTTTTGTGTAGTGGTACTAAATTTAAACAAATTATCCAGAATGTGAGTCTTTACAAAGAGTTTCTAGGAAATGAGCTTTTCCCCGTAAAGTAAAAGTGATTATCTGGCATGATACATATGATCAAACACATAAAGTGTGTTTGCAAGCAAATATATGATCAAACACATAAAGTATGTTTGATCATATGTTTGCTTTAAATGTTCTGCTGTGAATTTCATTAAATTCAACTTTAGCTCTGAATGTCATTCAATTACTTGATAAATGGAACATTGTTTATATAACACTTACACTATATTTATGATAAATTTTTTTATATTTATTCTGACACTTCTTAATGACAGTCTTTTTCAGAGTTGCATCAAATGTACTAAAATGCATTATATGCCATAATAGTTTATTAGTTATTTTGTTTTAATAACTTTATATCATGAACTAATATTTTTTAACATTTTTGATAGTTTTCAAACAGCTTTTTTTTTTTTTTTTTGAATAATAGTGTTAAGCTTTTATTTAATAATGGTTATTTATTTATTATTATTTGTTATTAGTGAAATTAAGATATTCTATAATAATTTTTTAATTTTAGTCACTGTATTTCATTTTGAATCTTTATATTTAAAGTCCATATTAATTTTTAGCTGATAAGTGGAGAGCATGTTGGTGCATTAGCTATGAGTGAAGCTGGATCTGGATCCGATGTGGTTTCTATGAAATTAAGAGCTGAGAAATCAGGTAAAATGCTCCTTTCTTTCTCATTAATGAAGTATTAATAACTTCAGAATCTTTGTTAACGAATGAAGCATTAATGAATTCTAAATTAACTATGATTGAATGAAGTATTATTAATGAATGAAGTATTATTAATGAATGAAGTAAACTCATGTTTGTGAAAATTGTGACACCATGAAGATATCGTCATAATTGAATGAAATTTACTACACAGTTGAGTGGTAGTGGTACAAATAAATGATTAAACTTTCAAAGCAAACAAACAATAACAAGAGATCGAAATCAGTATTTTGTGTNCTGAAATTCTAATCATTTACATATTATGCTCTACTTTGCATTTCCTGAAAATTTCAGCTCACTCGCGTAAGTCCTTCATGGTGTTGCAATTTTCACAAACATGAGTTTATTAATCAATTTCTCATTAATGAATATGTTGTGTATTTAAGTCATAATTTTGTTTTATATTTGTTCTTAAGCTAAATTATTGTGTTTAGCTGAATTAATGTGTTTAGCTCAAGGCTCCGTAACCTGTTGAAACGTCAGAGTTAAAAGTTACAATTTACAAAATATTCCAGTTTTTAACCCACTGGCGGTTTAGCAAAAGGGCAAGATTAGGAGAATGTCTCTCCCCGATACTCTATATCCCTATCTAATAACATAGAAAAACTGGTTTTGCTGTGCGGTGAAGACTGTCGGTTAAAATAAGACTTTTTGCATGCAGAACCGTCAGTGGGTTAAAGAGCCACTAAAAATTTTCGATTTAAGAATATAGTATTTACTTACATGTATTTGATTTAAAATAAACAACTTTAATTGCGTAATAATATTTATTCATATAAAAACACAAATGTAGATAGTTACATCATTGAGAGCTTTTGGCTTTAGATGCCTTTTAAAAGCTAAATTAAATCTGGCTTATAACTTGTTGTTTAAATTTTGTTTGTTTTGGATTGCTTGAAACTCACAGCGAATCCATCCTTCATGTTTTTTAAACCTATGCTGAAGGAATTCGTCTTATAATTATATCTATTTGTCTTATAATTTTCAAAATTAATTAATTTACTGCTTATCCATGTCTTCAACAAAAATAACTAATTTTTTCCAAAGCAAACTACTTCTGCAAGCAAGGCGTAGGCTGGGTTGCCCTTTCCTTGCAGTTTTAGATTTATTTCATTTAGTATCAACCATGAAGTTGAATTTTTGCAGCTCTTTGTATTCTTCCAATTAGTAATGTTCAATGCTTTTTCAATTAAGGAATGTTTTTATATTACTCAAGCACAAAGCAAAACTTTGCAATATGTTACCTCTGGAAAGCTATCGCACTTTATTGTGCAGAAATCGGTTAGAAAATTGGCTATCTATTTCTTCGAGGAAATCTTTAAACTGGCAATCTTACTGTGGTTTTGTGAAGTTGCTGTTAATAATCTTAACTACCAAATTCGTGACCTCAACTATTTCGGCTAGAAATGTTCGGGCACAAAGCACTTCTTGCTGAATTATGCAGTGAAAAGTTAGAATTTCTTGGTTAATTTTTTTCTGCTGAATTGATGTTACCCCTTTATGTATTCTATCTCTAAGAACAAAACAATAGTTCAATTTTATCTCATTACGGTCATGTTAAGTGTAGTGGTTTGTAATTAACGATTATGAAATAGAAGCTATTTTGAAATTAGGCACTTAAAAATATTTTTTTCTTAAAATATTTTGTTTTGAGAATACATTACTAATTTTTTCGCATATAACTGGAGAGCCGCAACTTAACATCAAAAGAGCTGCACACGGCTTACAAGCCGCAGATTGTGGACCCCTGATTTAGCTGAATTATTGTGTATGCTGAGTATTTTGTTTCCCATCTATTGTTGCTTCGAAAGTTGTTCTTTTTCTAGAGCTATGTAATGCATTTCCTGACTGTAATTTCAATTGTTTTAAAGATAAATACTATAATTGTGTCTAAGATGATTACTTTTTGCTTATCCTCTATTTACTGGTTTTGTTTGATAGGATGGCTAATTTTTCAATTATTGTTTTACTAGCCAATGACTTTGCAAGTAATGTTTTTTTTTTAAATTTTTTGTTTCTGAGTCGAGCAACATGAAAAATTATTAGTAAAATTTCAATATTAGTAAAATTTCCTTAGAAATGGCTATGCAATCGTAGGAAAATTTAGAAAATCTATCTTGATTATAATTTTTTACAGTTCTTTAAAAAGTTGCTTTTTATTAAGGAAAAAATAAATGTTTATGATTATTGCTTAACTAATTGGGTGCTATCTCGTGAAGTATATTCAAAATTGTTTCTAAAAAAATTTATCATATGAAGCTAATTTTTCATGTCTTTATAATAGGAGATCATTATGTATTAAATGGTTCAAAATTCTGGATAACCAATGGATCAATTGCTGATGTTCTTGTTGTATATGCCAAAACTAAGTTTGATACTGACAAACCTCAACATGGAATCACCACATTTTTAATTGAAAAAGTAAGTCTTATCTATTTTTTTCCTTCTAAATTTTAATGATTGCGACAATTGTTGTTTAGTATTTTACTAATATTTTGTAGTAAAGTTGTGGTGAATACAGTTAAGTTTTCTAACAGTTGATTTTAATTGTGATTGTTTCATTCTCATTAAATGTTTCAGTTTTAGATTTATGAGGCTTTTCTTGCAGGGTTTTTAAAACTTATAATGTGTTCATTGTAGTAATTTCTTTTTTATTGTATGCAGTTAATATTAGGTTTTTTTTGTGCATTTACATTGTTGGTTAGACAATTATACAATCTTTGTTTCACAGGGAATGCCAGGATTTAGTACTGGAAAACCACTTGATAAATTAGGAATGAGAGGATCACCTACATGTGAATTGATATTTGAAAATTGCAAGGTCCCCGGTAAGATTCTTAAATGCGTAAAATCTGCTGTTACTTCTTTAGATACTGTGCAATTGTTTTTTATGTGTGAGAGCGCAAATATTTTTTTAATGTAATAGCAACACGGCCATATAATATGACAGCAACTGTTAATTTTTACTGTTCGCCACTTTGCTTAAACGAAACCAAGCATTTTTTTTTGTTCAAAGATATGTAATACTGCTGATGATGAATTACAACACTTTTTATTACATATTGTTTTATTATTTTTATCTTTTTGTATAATAGATATCTGCTCTAATTTTCGTCGGTAGCTTTTGCACGTGTTTATCAAAGTATAATTGCTGTTTATAATTTAAAAAATATTTCAAAATATTTTTTAAGTACTAATTCATTATATATATATATACTTGCGGAAAAAAAATCATAACATCAAATATGAGTTGTGATTAACTAAATTTGGTAGATTTGTTTATACAACTAGAAGATGATGGTTATTCAAACTTCGTGCTTGGCGCATAAGCGCTAGTAGTGCCACTGTGAACATGCAAATCAGGATTGCTTTAAATTTGTGTTCTACAGTTCATATACGTTACTTTTCATTAAATTTTGACAGGGTGAGTTGCTGTTAGTCAAGAACACATTTAAGAAGACGAAGAAGCCATTATCAACAGCTAACTGGCTTTGAACTTGGTCGTGCAATAGGCAGTTAGAAGGTGGATGCGACGTTGCAGAAAGACGGGAGAAATGTATCCCTGTGCATGAGTGTTGTCAGCAGTTTTCAAGGGAAGATACTGCTGTACGGCATGCAACAGGCCTGGAACTCCATTCCACAAAATAGCATACAGCGTCTGTATGACACAGTGCTTGTTCGTTTGCGTGATTGCCTTCAAATTTCTGGTGATTATAAAATACTGGTTATTAATGTACCAGTATTTCACATTTGAAATGGTTTTTCTCTTAATTGTATTAACCTGAAGAAAACAAACTTGCTGAAATATATATATATATTACTTGCATATGTGTGTATATATATATCATACATAACATACATACATACATCTAAGTTTATTATGTACATACATAACCTGTTTCCTTGATTATAATTCATGGAAAATATCATATATGCTAAAATAGTAACAAGTTGTAGAACATTTAACGATAAAAATAATGTATTGTTTTGAATTTGTTAGTTTTACAATTGTACAGATACATTCATGTGTTCAAAGATACATTCATGTTACAAATTTCTCGTAACAAAAAACTCAAATATTAGTTTCACTAATTTCTATTTATAACTGAACAGAAAATTAAATAATTTACCTGAATAGCATGTATACTTAATTGCTAGTTATCTATTTTTTTAAAAAAAATATAGTTTGAATTCTATTTTGATACCAAAGTTTCAGCTATGAATTATTAAGGTATATTACTTTTTTAATAAAATTATTTTTATATGATGTATACAGGATCATAAAAAAAATGAGTTACCACGAAATAGAATTATGCAACTTAATAAATAAACATGAACATAAATTTGATATTAAAATATATTATTATGTTTTATAAGTATTTCCACGTGTTTCAATATGGACACAATTAGTTACCTAACTGGTATCAAGTAAAGATATTCAATCTCCTATCATATTTTGTGAAGCATCTCTGATGTTAAAATTTCAAATGCTAAGTTTTTTTTTAGGGTGTTGATATCAGTGATTATATCACTGTACTCAATAATTTTAATTTATGCCCAGAAAGCTCTGAGGGGTCAAATTAAAGCGTACTAGAGACTACTGACTTTTAGTTTCCAATCAATACATCGCAGGGACAGCCTTTTATTTAAAGTATCATGCAAAGATATAGAGAAATCACATGATTTATGGTTACGGTTTCTAAAACATCAAACTGGATAAAAACATTAATTTCCACCAAATCTTGATAAAGTTTCTTGTAGTTATTTTTTATTTCTGAGGGATCTAAAACTCTTGGCTTAACACATTTAGACTGGAAAAATTGCTTTATGTGAGAAAACCGTTAATGCCATTCTTGAGAAGATTAACAAAACCTTTATTTGTTTACTTGAATTCGACACAAGGATTATTTCTGTATGCTCAAAATGAATTTGTAACGAGGTTTAAAATCACAGCATTCCTTTTGATGTTCCTGTATTGATATGAGTTTGCCTAATAGTTGAAATTTTTAATAATATAAAATTTGAAATTTTATGAATTTTTTTTCCCTAGCTGAAAATATTATGTCTTCAGAAGGGAAAGGGGTGTATGTCTTAATGAGTGGATTAGATTATGAAAGATTGGTATTAGCAGCTGGTCCAGTTGGGTAAGCTATGGTTAATTGGCATTATTTTCAATGTGATATAAATTCTAAAATGCAAGTAGATATGAGTTGGAAATAAAATTACTTATTCTTATGTGCAAGATACTTTTTTTTCTTCTATTACATATCTTCAAAAGTTTTCAGTAAGCATTTGTAATGTTAATTCATTACAGTTGTTGCTATTTGCTCTAGATAATAGTTAAAAAATTAAGGAATATAAAAGCAAAAAAAATCTTAAGAAATGAATATGTTAATGAAAAGCAACTATCACTAATTGTGTTTTTAAATTTTATGAATTATGGGTGCTTAAATAAGTAAGGAAATCAAAAAATTGTTATTGTCTACTTCTCATCGTCAATTATCTTAATTGAAAAATTGTAAGAAGTCTACAAAAATTGTAACTCTATAATTACAATATTGAATTTAACATTTAATTAATTTTTGATATTATAAATTAGGATATTGTAAATTTTATAAAATTTATGAATTTATTTATATTTTAATAAAGCCAAGCACAATATGAATGTGATACTGCAGCAATAATTAATACATGTATTTTGCTGATACTAGTCATAAAAATCTATATAATGAAATAATTTAACCAATTTTCTTGTCTGTGATAATTTTTGTTGTTGCACACAGTAAGACCCATCTCAATCCTCTTATAGTGTTATTGCTCTTTTATGAATTACCAACTGAATACATGTTCTTCATACAAGGAGGAAAAAAGGAAGAAATTATTATATCTATGCTGAACAACATTACGAAACTGAAAGATATTTGCCAACATAAATTATAATGTTAAAATAATTGCATTTTTAAATTTATTACCATATTTTGTCCTTGCTGGTGGCATTGCGCTATTAGACTAAGCAAAACATGCTTTTCATTCTTCATCTCATCAAAATAAAGATTAGCTGTATTTAACATCCTGTTCGAGGACTCCCAGTTAGTTAGCCAAATTTGAGACTTCTATCTTGGTAAAAACCTGCATTACCATCAATTTGGCTAATTACCATGGTACTTACAAAATATCAAAATGAAACTTTTATAGTTTTTCTATTTATCTCGTAAAGAACTCTTGTTCCAAATGTTAGCTTTTTAACTTCACGGAAAGTGGGAGAATTAGTGAGTAATTGAATGAATGAATGAGGACTTTGAGTAAATGAGGACTTCACTTTTTATAATTACAGATATTCAAAGATTCAGTTTATTTTCAGTTATTTTAATTCAAATACTTTATCATATTGTGTTATCTATAAGTTTGTAAAAATTTTTTATTGTTTGAATATATTTTGAGACTTACATTGTTTAGAAGTAATACCATATTTAATGGAGCAATATCCAACTTCCTATGCATATTTTTCATAACTTTTCTGTCACTGTTTTTCATTACGCCTTGTACGGGTACATTGGCAAAGATTCTCCAATTTTGTGGATACGTTTTTTAAAATATATTTTTGTAATATATTAAAAAAAAGCCGACCAGGTAGCCGAGTGGTTAGCGTGTCTGACTGCGGAGCCATTGGCCCGACGNTTTTGTCTGGAAAAAATACATGTGTTCATGTTTTAATAGTTAAATAGTTTTTTGTCATTTTTATAATGTAATCAAATCATTCTGTACTCAAAAAATATTATGAGCCTGCAGATACTTTATTTTTATTTAGTCGCATTTTTACTATTATTTAGTCGCAGAACAGCTTAACAATCTTTTTAGTACTGAATAAGGCAAAAAATGTACATGCTTAAGGAAATGGTTTAAAGATGCATATTTCTTTTTTTTTCTTTTTTGAATTTAAAGTAGGAAGTTTTTTTTTTCAAACTTAGAAGAAGTAGAGTCTGGTTTGAAGAGATTGAAAGCAATGTTTAGGGTATAAATGGCTGTCCACCTCTGGTCACTGGAGTACAGGGTTGGCAAAAAATCAGGTTTTTTGGGAAGAAACCAAAAAACAATTTTTTGTTTTTTTCCGAAAAACCAAAAAACAACCAGTTTTTTTGGAAAAAACCATGGTTTAAACTTATTGGTTTAAACCATGCCAACCATGCAGGAGTATCCATTTTGAGGATAGAGAATGTAATAGTTTTTTCATGGAAGGTTCATAAGAAATAGTTTTGCAGGAGCGTTCATAACGTGAGGTTTCAGTGTACTATAAGTATTTTTAGGTTTTCTTATGATACACGATATATTTCTGATATTTAAATAAAAATGAAGAATTTACTTTTCTTATATTTTCTAACTGAAAATTTAGTTATTCTATTCTTATTCTTTTAAGTGTTACTGTAAATTTTTATTTAGACTTATGCAAGCCTGTTGTGATATTGTATTCCAATATGTTCACGAGCGAAAGCAATTTGGACAAAGGATAGGTGAATTTCAGGTTTGTTGACCTGATTTAAGCATTTTCATATTTATTATTTATATATATTTTTTATGTCAACTTGAAATTCTTATGAAAATTCTTTATAGTTAGATTTTGTTCAGTTTTTGTTAAATGTTTAGTAAATAGTCTCATCTGTTTTCTCTTGCCAACCATCAAGAGTAAAATTTAGTGTTTAGATAAGCTATAGTTTTGAAAATGATGTGTATTAAAATAATTGTCATTGTGTATTAATCTAAAGAGTGAATAGTTCATTTATTTAGAGATTTTTTTAGTCCATACAATATCAGATTTTTTTAGTAGCTAGGTTACACTAATTTTTTATTTTCTTTTTAAATTGTACTTATTTTTTGATATTTTAATAAAGTATAAGAAGTTTTTAAATACCATTTCTTCCATAGTAATTGCACATTGTAAAGCATGCACTACAAACTGAGAGCCATTTTTGTTAGTTGTTCATTTTTTCAGTATTAGGGGACAGTTTAAAGTAAGCATCAGATAATGCAAAGTGAGATCGTCTTTTTTTTTTTCTTTTGATTTTCTTATTTTGAACTTTTTATATATGATTCATGGATTTCAGGGCTTCAAGTGCTGCGCACATTCAAAGCCAAATCGGTATATTTGCGCATTACGGTATTACTGCGCAGAAACGGCATTTTATGTTAAATTTGCGCCGAGT